ATGTAGGTCCGCGTCGTATAGACCCCAATATAACGGCTATATTCGGTATTTATAAAATTTTAACAGAATTTTTTAAGGATTTTATTTTTTTAAATTTTCCGAACTTACAGCTTTTAAGCTTGTTTTTTTAATATCTTTCATCTTTATTTTAGTCCTCCTTTCTAAAGGTAAGCCATTGTCACTTGATTATGCCAAGATAAAAATTTTATTATGATTACACCACACAGATTGCCTAGCAATATTTCTAAATCTCAAATTACACACACACCCACAAAAGGCTAAGAACAATGAAATTGTCAAGCCTTAAATACATCAAGATTAGAGATATGTATCTCTGAGAATAAAACCATTCAAGCTATTTCTCTTGAAATTAAATTTCATTAAATTGTAGTTCTTGTAATTTACCTCAGACACACACACATTTATATAACCTCTCTCTCTTTCTGACTCTCTCCTTTCATTTTCGAAATTCAAATTCAATTAAAACTTTGCACCTGTTTTAAATCGTTTGGATTTGTTCATTTCTAAGTCGATGACAAGACTTTTGAAAATCCAGAATAGAAAAAAAAAACAACAACATCAGCTTTTCTATGCCTATGGTTTTTGTAACAAAGGAACTGCTGCCCCTGTTGCTGTCAAGAGGATGTTCTTTGTAAAACATTTACTCTCAATTCTGTCTAAATGCTGACCATGCATTGTCCTTTAAATGTCCAGTTTTATTGTTGTAGGCCAGCTTTGTGGTTATTGTTGTTGTTGCTGCTGCTGCTGTTGTTTGGTCTTAGGTTAAACTTAAATGTTGTGCAACAATTACTCTTTTGTCTTATCATCATCTGTATCCTGGTGTTGTCATTAACATTGTCCTGTTGTCCTGCTGGTAATGTACCGAAGTGCCTTGGCTACTCATGTATGTTTGCATGTGTGTGGCGATGCATGTATGCGTGCGAGTTTTAAGGGTATTATGCATGTTACTTAACCTGAGTTGTGTCAACACCTGATAAAAATCTATGCTGTAGCTTATGTCTCATCCACCTGGGTAAGATGTGTGTTTGTGTGTGTGTGGATGGATGATGGTACAATACAAACTACTTACATACTTCGGTGTGAAAAGAAGCTAGACTCAAGTGAAATTAAATTCCAGAAATTAATTAATAGAAAAACCAGTTATTGCTCAGAATTACATAATTTTCACTTTTAATAGGCTCCACCATACTATGGAGGGTATATTCATTTTGTCATACCGTTTGTAACTCATCGAAATAATGATCATAGATCCAAAGAAGTACATATATTCTTAATCAGCGTAAAATTCTAAGACGATTTAGCAATGTCTGTCTGTCTGTCTGTCTGTCTGTCTGTATGTCTGTCTGTCTGTATGTCTGTATGTCTGTATGTCTGTATGTCTGTCTGTCTGTCCGTCTGTCTGTTGTAATCACGCTATCTTTCGAACGAATTGAGATAGAATGCTAAAATTTTGCACACATGTTTATTTTGCCAGTAGGTCCACGTTTTCATATAGCCCTCATATAACGATACCTCCCTATATTCGGTATTTTGATGATTTTAGCGACATTATTCACCGGAATTGTTTCATATTTGGCATTTGAAGTTCGAAATGAATGCTACAGCCTGAGACAGAAAATTGTCTGTGCAAGTCTACGTCTTTGTATAGCCCCCATATAACGGTACCTCCCTATATTCGATATTTTGATGATTTGAGCTACATTATTCACCGTAGTAGTTTCAAATTACGTATTTAGAGTTCGTAATGGAAACTACAGTCTGTGACAGAAAATTGCATATCCAGGTCCAGGTCTTCGCATAGGCCCCATATATCAGTACCTTCTTATATTCGGTATTTTGACGATTTTAGGTACAATACTCACCGAAATTATTTTAGACGTGGTATTTGAAGTTCGTAATGGAAGCTACAGCCTGTGACAGAAAATTGTCTATACAGGTACAGGTCTTCGTGTAGCCCAGGTCTTCGTGTAGCCCAGGTCTTCGTGTAGCCCCTATGTAAGGTATTTTGATGATTTTAGCTACATTATTCACCGTTTTTTTCAAGTTTCTAATTTGAATATGGTAATTGCTTGTGCCCTAATATAACGGCTAAATTCGGTATTTTTAAAATGTTTACAGAGTTTTTGGCGAATGTTATCTTTTTCGAAAATTTACAAATTCGTTCTAAATGGTGGAGGGTATTCAAAGTTCGGCCCGGCCGAACGTACTGTATATTCTAATGGGCCTTGGTTTTAAAATAATTTTTTAAAATGAGAACATTTTTTGCAGCCGAGGTCTGCTAAACAGTTGTGGAGCTTGGATTGCCACAAATAAATTTCAAATCATTCACCCCCCATATAGGAAGATATTTTAATAAATTTATGACACCCTTTTTTGTAAGTTTTAGAAGATGTAAAAATATTCATATTTTAAATCGCAGTAAGTGATTTTTTAGTGCTCCAAAATTTGATACTGACTGGTCATCCTTGCATGAGAGCTAAATATTTTCCTCCCGTTTTTTTTTACCTTCAGCCATATGGGTACAGATGTTGTTTGTCATTTGATATGTCCAAAACGTGACCCCTTGAAATAAAGGTTTATATCCAAGGTATCTTTGGACCAACTCCGTTTCAGGACATTTGAAGTAGATCTAGGGATGTCCGTCTGGCTGTCTGGTTGATGCAGACAGTAACTCTCGAAGGGAGTATCCGATTTGGTCTTAAAACTTATTACTTTAAAATATTAATGTCAAACTTAGATCGAGTCCGTAGTTAGTGAAATATGTCCAATCCTTCTGGTTTCTCCCCACAAAAGGTCAAAAGTTTTATTGAAAATTACTTACCGTATAAAAAAACTATCATCCAATTTTGTGGAAACTTTACAAATCTCAATATTTGTATCAGTGCTGAGTCAGGTGTGAAAATGGACAATGTCTGTCCAATCCATAATGTACCTCCCCCACAAAGGGTCAACATTTTGTATAATTTGTAAGTCCCATAAAATGCGATATAAGCTTCCGTTTATCTTTAAAATGCACACATCCCAATATTACTATTAACACATCAACATTTTGAATAACACAAAGCTCATAAACGCGAAACGAGCACTCAAAATTGGCATATCGCTCCTTCAGGTACCTCTCACCAACGGATCAAATAAGCTTTATGGCAGAAAATTACACAAGGCTAGCAAAATCGACATTATCGAAATCTCTATTTCTATTGTATATCAAATAAATATTTACCTCAATGTTCCAAAAAAGGAACAAGTTAAAAAGGAGGAAGTTCGGCAGGACCGAATTTTGAATTTTGAATAATTTGGAACGAATTTGGAAATTTTCAAAAAATAAAATCCTTAAAAAATTCTTTTAAAATTTTAAAAATACCGAATATAGCCGTTATATTGAGGCCTATACGACGTGGATCCCAACATACATAGGCATTGTTTGTCATAAGCCATTGCCATATTCAAATTCGAAACTTGAAATAAACGGTGAATAATATAGCTAAAATCATCAAAATATCGTAAATAGGGAGGTACTGTTATATCGGAGCTGTGCGAAGACCTGGACCAGCATAGACAAATTTCTGTCACAAGCTAAAGCATCCATTACGAACTTCAAATAAAACTCGTCAAAATACAGAAAATAGGGAGGTGCTGATATATGGGGCCCAAACGAAGACCTGGACCTGCATAGACAATTTTCTCTAACAGACTGTAGTTCCCATTACGAACTCTAAATATGTTATTTCAAACAATTCCGGTGAATAATGACGCTAAAGTCATCAAAATACTGAAAATTGGGAGGTACCGTTATATGGGGGCTATACGAAGACGTAGACCTACATGGCCCATTTACGAACTTAACCTGCCTACTGGAAAAATAAACATGTGTGCAAAATTTTGGCCTTCTATCTAAATTCGTTCGAAAGATAGCGTGATTACAACAGACAGACAGACAGATAGACAGACAGACAGATAGACAGATGGACAGATAGACAGACGAACATCGCTAAATCGACTTAGAATTTTACGCTGATAAAGAATATATATACTTTGATGTTTCTGACATAAGTGTTTCGAGGAGTTACAAACGGAATGAAAAAGTTAATATACTCCTCTATGGTATGGTGGAGGGTATAAAAAAAAGGAGAATATTTCCAAATTTTTTTGATCAATTCTTCCTCGGACTTTTTTCAAACTGACGGTTGAAAGTAGCATAAAATTTTATTTAAGGTGGTAGGTGGCTACTTTTTAGCTAATATTAATGCTAATCTTTTCTTGATATTTAATCGGAACAGGAATTTCTTTTTTTCCGGTGACTCATAGTGAAATTTTATGACGAATATTTTTGTATTTTACATTACACCTCTAAAATGTTGCTTTGGAGGCGAAATTTGTATAAACTAACAAGAAGTACCCCATGAAAAAAAGGTTTTAATAGTTACGCATTTCTGGTGTTAGGGTAAGATTTAGACTTTTGATGTACTCTAAGGTCTATGGTGGAACTTTATGACAAATAACTTTGTAGAATATCTTGACTATCCTATCTGACTACCCCATTGTCTATATCCTATATTGTGCTACGATCCCGTTTAAAGAGAGTTTTTTTAACTTTTTGAAGAAAATACTAAAAAAAGACCCCTTTTGGTGACTCGGTTAAGGGTTAAACCTTTCATCCAAAAGAATTCACATATAATCCATAAAATAGTTCGAAAATATCACAAAATGTGTAAGACGGGGGACTTAATCTCTATTTAGACGCCACAAAAAAATAGTTATTTAGACGTTAATTTAAAATATATTTGTCATCAAACATTTGAGAAGCAGGCATAAAAAATTTAAAATTCGTGGGAAATCCTCAGAAAACTTAAAATTTTGTGTTTATTTTGGTGGATCCGCTTTCATTCAAATGAAGTAAATTATAAAAATAATATTTAAAAATAACTGATAAAAATTAATAAATCATAGATTTTATGTAGTTTATAGCCTCGACCTACCTTTTTCGTCCAATAGATAGATGGCACTGGATTACCGGATCCTTTGCACTCCATTGTGACTGGTCCACCCTTACGAGCTTGTAAATTGCCCGAAGTTGGGGTGGCACGAACACTGGGTGGTACTGGAAATAAAAAAAACAAATTTTATACAAATAAATAAAATACCAAGTCAAAGAAATGGAAAAATAATAGTTTTCCTCATCTCTCAACTACTTCCTTCCTTTTGCTATTTGTTTTTATTTTATTTCTTTTTTTATTTATTTCCTTTTTTTATTTTTTGGTTTTTTCCTCTCTACTCACCCAATATTTCCACTGTATGCACTTGATCACGATTTACTTTGTCACTAATTTGACACACATAATCACCGGCATCTTGTGGCTCCAAATCGGATATCTCTAAGTTATAACCATCTATCAGTCTTATGCGTTCATCCCTTGTCACCATTATGTTGGAGGCTGTGAGAACATTAATACCACGACGCCACAATAACACAAAGTTTCCTGCAAGAGATAAAGAGAAGAGGAATGGAACCATGAGAGCAAAAATAAAACATAAACCGGAATTGTCAGCATTAATACGTCATGTGATTTATAGAGGGTGACAGCAAAAAACAGGAATACTTGGGTAATTTATGTTCGTTTATTTGTTAGTATAAAAATGTTCATGATGAGAGACGTTGATAGTTGGTACATATTGTAAACATGGCCATTCGGCTAAAGTAGTAAATCTAAGAAATGTGTGAAAATGAAAAGAAATATATTTTTTATGGAAAGTAGGGCCCTTGTAAGGCAAATAATGAATTTGAAAAAATACGAAATGTTGAAAAAAAATAGTTTTTAAATGAAAGTAATAAATTGGTTGGACTTTATTGAAAATTTTGAGAAATTATAAGGGTTTCGTTTCTTTTGCATATCCTTTTGATGCTATCGGTTACAAGCCAATAATATTTCCAAGTTCAAAATATTTAATTAATATATTTCTCTTAGACAATATTTAGGTCTCCTCAAAAGCCATTTTGTCATGAAAAATATTAATAATGATTTTTTTTGCCAAGAGATATCAATATACAGGGTGAGATAAAAAAACTGCAACAAAGTCAAACGCCATAATTTTTAAAATTTTTTTCAATTTTATTGCATGAAAGCTAAAAATGTCGGAAATAGCATAAAGTTTTAGAATAAGTTTAGATTTGTTCGAATTGGTCACCTTTGGCACGAATTATGGCCTTCAAACGGCCAATGAAACCGTCACACGTTGCGCGAATGTTGCTCTGCGGTATTTTGGCCCATTCCCTGCGAAGCGCTTGGTTGAGGTGATCGACACTTTGGTATTTCCTAGTGCCAAAATTGCGTTCCAAAATACTCCAAACACAATAGTCCAACAGATTGGTATCCTGAGATTTTGGTGACCATTTTGCGCTGGAAATGAAGCGAGTAACCTCATGTTGTTGTTGTTGTAGCAGCTCAGACATTTGTGTTCGTTCGGTTTCCATTTTTCTATTTCCATTCAATCAGGTTCTGCCTAAAAGTCCAGTCTCAAAAAGGATGCAACCTTTATGGGTTGTGTCCATAACGAGACTGAAGTTAGGTGAGTAGGCTTGGCCGGGCAACGAAATAGGTGCAGCGTGTCATGTGGGCTTGTGCCACATACTGGGCAGATGTTCTGTACGTCGCTGTTAATCCGGGCCCAGTAGGAATTTAGGCGGCTGCACCATTCGGATCGTAATTGAGCCAAAACTGCTGGGGTTTGTAGGGGCAGCTCTCGTTTTTCAGCTGCGACGGGAGCACAGTATTCACTCTTAATCCTTCAATGGCTTCTGAGACCACATTAGAGTGAATACTAATCAGTCCCGCTTGATAGGCCTGTTGATCTAGAGGCTCTCTCTTATACCTCGTACCTCTCCCTCTCTAGATCATGAAGGTCTTTTATAACGTGCCTGGGCGGAGGTTGCCTATCCACAAGATGGTGATTCGGATGGTTTTGTCTACAACAACCAAGCAGGTATTGCATTGACAGTATTTTGTTATGCTGACGCACCAGTAAGACCTTCGCCTCCTCATGTAGGTGATCGACAGGTGTCATGAGAAGCCACCCTGTTGCGGTTCTAGGGGCGACATTTTTCCAATGCGTAGCACTGACGTTGGTGGACCACACCGGAGTCGCATATTTTACCACAGACCGGCCTATCGCGTTGTAAGAGGTCAACAAGGTTTCCTTATCAGCTCCCCAAGTACTGCCGGCCAGAGACTTGAGGACCTTGTTCCTACTCCTAATCTTGTCGCAGATAGCTATGGTATGCGCGGACGACTTAAAGAGGCTATCGAATGTGACCCCTAATAACTTGGGGTAGTTGGTGGTCGGAATTATAGCACCATCGACCTGCACATTCAAGGATAGTCCCATCTCCGCTGTCCATGTGGTGAAAAGTGTGGCCGTCGACTTAGTGGCGGATATCTTCATATTCCTCGCAGTAAAAAGGCGGTAAGATCAACAAGGTAAGCGTTTAACCGATCACAAATGTCATCAATAATGGGTCCGGACGCCACGAGCGTACAATCATCAGTGTACGTTATAATCTCTATGCCGTCTGGAGGGCGTGGAATGTCAGAAAGGTAGAGGTTAAACAGTTCCGGAGATATCACCCCACCTTGGGGAACTCCCTGTTAAACTCTACGGATGCTCGACTTCTTGTTTCTGAATTCCAAGTACGACTGGCGCCGTGTAGTTTACTATCAAACCCTTACTATCCATTTTGCAACCATTCTTGGGTGGCACATTTTCAGCTAACCTCTTTGGCAAGTAAACACGATCATTTTGTTTGTTTACAAACTGCTGGACAACGAATCTTTTCTCATCGGAGAAAACGAAATTCGGCAGTTCACCACTTTCGGCCAAGCGATGCAACTCTTTAGCTCTTTTGAGTCTATTTTCTTTGGGTTGCGGTGTAAGTTCTTGCATTTTTGTAATTTCAATAGCTTTACCCCGAGCTCATTCATTTTTCAATATTTGCCAAATGAAATATTGCGACATTTTCAGTTCACGAGCCATTTTTCGGTCACTGCGATGTGGGTTTCGATCAAGTCGCTTCCTTACTTTTCGAACCATTTCTGCTGACGTTGCTGTTTTTTTCGTCCATTACCTTGACGTCGGACTAGGCTACCAGTATCTCGGTAACGAACGAGATGATAGGAGACATAAAAGATTTATTCACATTTAAATGCTGAAGCTTATTTTCTTTTTGTTGCGGTGTAAGTTCAAGCACTTTTTTAATTTCAATGGCTTTACACCGAGCTCATTTTTCAATATTTGCCGAATGGAATATTGCGATATGTTCAGTTCACGAGCCATTTTTCGGCCACTGCGACGCGGGTTTCGATCAAGTCGCTTCTTTACTTTTCGCACCATTTCTGCTAATGTTGCAATTTTTCCGTCCACTTCCTTGACGTCGGGCTACGCTACCAGTATCACGGTTACTGGAGATGATACGAGACACAAAAGGTTTATTCACATTTAAATGCTGGAGTGCTCTCACTATAGCCACTTGTGGTTTTCTAGCCAAATATAAAGAAATCACATTTGAATTCCATCACGAATAACTTCTTTTCTGGAAAATTCTCACCAAGCTGCATTTGTACGCTTCTAAACAATGTAATAAGCTCTCATTGGAATAATTTTAACAGCTGTCGGACGAGTGGCTTAGCAATGACAGCAGTCTGAAATTGGTTGCAGTTTTTTTCATCTCACCCTGTAGACCGATTTAACATGAAGGAAAAAGGCAAACATTCAAAAATTTTCTTTACAGATGTAATCGATTCAATCAAAACAAATTTATTACAACAAATTTAAGATCAAAATCTAAACAAAAATTTCGAAAAAATTTCAAATTCTTTACCTGAACTTTTACCCAATTGATTTATTTTTATCAAATGATTTTAGGTGAATAGTTTCTTCAGAGCTCTAATCAATCAAACTGCATCCTTTGATTTCCTTTATTAGAAGATTTCTATGGAAAACAAATCACCATACATCAGCACCTATGTAATCAAACAAATACACGCACACACACTCACACACATTCCCATTCCCCGACTTAAAAGGATTAGTTAAAACAATACAATTTGATTCTTTTCCTTTACACTCAAGATTAACTTTTAATCAAATCAACTCTTTTCGTTTAGTTTTTCTTTTTTTTTTTTTTTTTTGAACAAGAAATACCAGAACGCAAAAAAAAGAACGACGTAAAATACAAAACATACAAATGGTATAGAAAAAATCAACCTGGACTGCCAATCATGAAAGTAGAGAAAATACAGCAAAAAAATCTCTCTTTCTCTCTCTCTTTGGAATAACAAGCATTGAAATGAAATTAAAGTATCAAAAGGGTACTTCTACTTCTTCTGGATGAATCAAAGAATACAATCAAATGCACAAATAAATGAAATGAAATAAAAGAAGATTTGTATGGCCGGCCAGAGTTGAGGAGCATAATGTTGTTAGTGTAACAGTAGCAACTATAAACAAGTAATTTAATATGGCTTTAAGGAGATGGAGAAACGAAGAGAAACAGAGAGAGAGTAGCAAGTATGCCACCCACAACTACACACCTTTGCCAAGGCAAAGCCATCAATAGAGCAATAGGTTTTCCAGCCATTGCTAGGAAACGGAAAATTACAGTCATTAATCTGCCACATAAAAATAAGAGTATTGCAAATTAATTGAGACCAGCAAACTAATTGACCATAAAATTCCTCACATTTAGGCCAATATATTTTCGAACACCTCAGTCTAAACAACTAAGTATCAAATATTGTTATGAATTAAATTCCGCAAATTAAAGATATAATAATGGGGGATATGCACCATTAGTATTTTCAACAGACCTTCAGAAGATAGTTAACATACTGAAAGCCTTTAAGTATTTTCTGAATATTAAAGAAATTTAATAAAACCGCAAGTAGCTTAGCAATAGCTTTGAGATGAAAAAAACTGCAAGAAATTTCAGACTGCTGTCATTTCTAAGCCACTCATCCGACAGCTGTCAAAATTATTCCAGTAACAGCTCATTATATTGTTTACAAGTGTACAAAAGCATTCTCGTGAGAACTTTCCAGGAAAAAAGTTACTTGTGATGGAAATCAAGCGTGATAGTGTGATTTATTTATACTTGGCTGGAAAACCACAAGTGGCTATTGTTAGAGCACTCCAGCATTTAAATGTGAATAAATCTTTTGTGTCTCGTACCATTGCTTGTTACCCTGATACTGGTAGCGTAGCCCGACGTCAAGAATGTGGACGGAAGAAAACATTAACATCAGCAGAAATGGTTCGAAAATTTAAGAAGCCACTTGATCGAAACCCTCTTCGCAGTTGCCGAAAAATGGCTCGTGAGCTGAACATATCGCAATATTCCATTGGGCAAATATTGAAAAATAAGCTCGGGGTAGAGCCATTGAAATTCCAGAAATTGAAAGAACTTACACCGCAACAGAGAGAAAAAAGA